TTTTATTTAATAATGTGTAATTATTCTGTGGACAAACAATGTGTGTGTGGTTATATTTTTTCGATTGACTATTATCAAAATTACTACTTCTAGAAACAACAGAAATAATAGTAGTAGTAGTAGTAGTTGTTGTAGTAAATCTAAAACAATTAGGTTTCCAAAAGTAAGAATAAACTACGAATTCAAGTAAAATTTTCAGTCATCTTATAAAAAGTGAGCCATCCTACTTTTAAAATCACTTGCTATGACAACTAATAAAAAGTTTAGTATCACGAAATTCTTGCAAAACTTTAAAAAACATTATTGAAAGAAAAATTGGACGTTTCATATCATAAAATAAATTACACGATTATGGTCTCCGGTGAAAAAACCTGCATGTGATTTGGCATTTCTTTATATTTACACAGTTTACTAATGCTGCTCTAATGTGCCATTAATGTACTGACACAAAGTAGTGTATTTTATACAAATATAACTGATGTAAATGACAAAAACAAAGTTTAAGGCTGATGTCTCTATTCATTTTCACAGAAGCAAAGCAGCAGATGTTATAAATAAAAACAATGTTAACAATGTTATTGAATAGAATATATTAAAACCATTATTGCACGACATAGGCCTGTTCTTATAGGCTACACAGACAAACCAGTCGAGATAAGTTTCTGCATTTTTTTTTCTATTTTACGCATTAGTAGTAAACCAAGACTTCGCAAGTTCGTAAAATAATAAAAAACAACAACAACATGGAATAAACTGTGTACAGAAAGCGAGTAAAGAACTCTCAACATTAGGCTACTAAAAAGGTCAGTTAAAGTTTAGTATTACGAAATTCTTGCAAAACTTTAAAAACTTTATTGAAAGAAAAATTGGACGTTTCATATCATAATAAAATTAATTATTACTTGATTATGGTCTCCGGTCTGAAAAAACCTGCATGTGATTTGGCATTTCTTTATATTTACACAGTTTACTAATGCTGCTCAAATGTGCCATTAATGTACTGACACAAAAATATTTAGTGTATTTTATGCAATACAAATATAACTGATGTAAATGACAAAAACAAAGTTTAAGGCTGATTTCTCTATTTATTTTCACAGAAGCAAAGCAGCAGATGTTATAAATGAAAACGGTTAACATTGTTATTGAATTGAATATATTAAAACCGTTATTGCACGACATAGGCCTATTCTTATAGGCTACACAGACAAAACAGTCGGAGATGCGTTTAAGCATTTTTTTTTCTATTTTACACATTAGTAGTAAATTAAGACTTCGCAAGTTCTCTTGTAAAATAAAATCATAAAAAAACATGGAATAAACTACAAAAAGCGAGTAAAAAAACTCTCAACATTAGGCTGCTAAAAAGGTCAGTTTAATCTTGCAAAAACTCCCGTTAATAAAAAATCTGGCTACACTGCACAATTAATCTCTTACACTGCATCTTTGTTGTTTATGATGAATTCGGTGCTTGCACGTACACCGCTTTTATTATTATTGCAGCTTAGATGTTCAAATAGCTGCAGTACTCCGACTTTGCCACAAGGAAAAGTGCGTACGTCTGCTCAGACACTGACGTGGCGGTAGGTACTTTTCCACGTCAAAGACCGTTTTTATAAATATGAACGTTGCCGTGGATTTTAACGAACGCACACTCTAAGATCAAATCTGTGCGTACGCACATTTTATAAATGAGGCCCCTGGAGTCTAGAAAAATGCTAGACCTGAAAAAGGAAATTAAAATTAAAACATTGTCAAGTGCTAAAAATAACCTAATGTAAAAAATCTAAACAGCTCGACTATAGTAACCATGGCGTAACACTCCAAACTTGGATTACGTTTTAATATCTTAACGAGCAGACATCAAATTAGTTCTTACATGCACAAATGAATATTTCCCACATATTTATCATTACAGAAAGTATTCATTTTTCTTTTCCCAAACAATGTAAACAACAACAACAAAAATTGCTTCACAAACACTTTTCAAACATTTCAAATGTGTTTAATCATACTGAAACAGAATGGAAAACATGAGGCGACATTCACTGGGGTACAGCGCTGTTCTTCAACAACTTGTGCCATAATCTCACAATGAAGTGTAGAGGACCAGTCTTTATGTACATAGTTACAAACACACACAGGCTAATATCCACCATCTGTATACAACATACACAAGACGTTTAGTACTGTATTCCCGAACAGCTTATGAGGGAAATGCATAGATTGATAGTGTCACAATGCCACACACCGTCTCTACATGGAAAAATGAACATGGAGTTTGGTCCTTAAAATAGACACCAAAAATAAAAACAATCTGAGCAACATTGTTATATATATGTATATATTTATAGATTAAATATATATAGATAAACCCATATTATGTTATAATATAGATTATTTATATATGGAAATTGAGCTCAAAACCATTGGGATGGGACCACAAAGGAATCAATCAATGTTGTGAAACCCAATGGCTGCTGGGACTTGTGGTTTTAAAAGACTCCAGAGGCAGAGCTTAGCGAACGAGTGGGGCCTGTTTAAGAGAGATGAGGACTGAACGCATGCGGGAGACGTCCTTGGCCTGCTTGCTAGTCTTGGGGTTGAAATCGCAAAGGCGCGCCACGCGCTCCCATTCCGTGCCGGGACTGTTCTCATCCAGCTCAGACACCATGGCTTCCTCGGCCGCCCTGCCGATGAGAGATCACAATCAGCTTGGGACAGAAACCGGAAACACTCTCAGACACGTCCCGCTTAAGCACACAACCGCTGACCTCCTGAATGTTTACATCATGAGAAAAACTAGAGAGCTTGACATGACTGAAAAATTACTTTCCAGCAAACTCACAGGTTTTTGAAACTGCGTTTACCAAAAGGAGCTTCTAAAATTGGTTCAAATGTTTCCTGAGGTTCTTCTTTAGGAGGTAAGAGGCAAGTGTACCAAAGCAGCTCAGTGTCTGGGTGAAACTCAATGGTTATTTACATCCAACAAGAACACATTCATAGAGAGACATTCTTCAGGTGACCACATCCAAAACAGATGGTAGTTTGAGCATCATGCCCCCAACCCACCATTACCAGAACTAGTCTTGATCTTGAAGGCAGGAAAAGGTTCCAGAACAGCCACAATCAAATTTTACAGCGATTCAGTTGGTTAAAACAATTCGTTGTACTTTGAAAGTCCTTATATTGTGGGACATTCCTCGTTTCTTGACGGTCTGAGGAATGTCAAGGAATCGCGTATGCTAATGAGCCTAGCTTCAACGTAGCGAATGACAGGCCAATTAGCTTATTTTAACCACTAAATCTTTGTGCAAAGGCTGAAAGTGCCATGCGTTGGCAGTGACCAAAAGCTGGGCCTTCTGCTGAGCATGGGGGAACTAAACCAAGTTTCTGGCAAGCCAAACGCTAAAGAGCTCTTAACATAAAAAATAAAAAAAAATCTTCAGAGAGCTTTTGGAGACCATATTCGACTATTCCCGTTTCCTCCCGGCCCGTTACCAACCCTTTCCGCTGCCGTGGACTCAGTCCAGTAGAGTTGCATTAGCTTCTCCACTATCACACAATATGCACAGCAAAATGGGTATGAAAAGCCAATGAGGTAAATCACGGTCACAATCAACTACATCAACGCACAGGACTAGTGCACCAACACATCACCACAAAAGGACATCCAGAATCTTAATTTTAGCAGAAACATGTTGATAATAAAAACAGCAATTCATTGGTGTAGAAATTGGCAATAAATGGTGTTTGTTCCCTGAGCATATCTAGTTGTCTTGTCTTTATTTTTTCTTTTTGTACTTTTTTTTTTTTTTTTACTTAACTGGTCTAGGCGGTAGCAAGGATGGTTAATGTGAGTGCTTAAAGGTGCATAGAGAAAAGAAAAACAAGGAGAAACAGATCACAAGTCAGATATATAGAAAACCAAAAGAAATGAGATTTATGCAGATGACCAAAGCAGGCATGCACTGTTCAAAACCCAAGTCATCTTAGGAGTGTTTCTAAGTGCGCTTAGCTTGCAGCCGTCATTGATGTATCTCAACTGGCGCTTCAGTTGAGAGACATTTACCAAGCAAAAGAAAAGCAGCTAATGTTTATAATAGATCTGCAGAATAGGCAGAAGCGGTAAGAGGTCTATGATGAGGGCTGCAGAACTAAGAGGACAGTTACAGTTCTA